TTGCGCCTTTAGCAGTGGGAGGAAACTGGAGGACCCGAAGAAAACCCATGAGATTGGACAGGCGATCCTACTCCTTGTCACGTACCGGTATTCTTGAACATCTTGTAATCATTAAGAATGAAAATTTGTAAGTTGAGCCATCTTCACATTGTCACGTATTCAACTACTACATTGTATATTAACCCTGCAGCCTTTCCATATTTTGTTTCCATATTTTGTGCAGGATGAAGGGCCTGAGGTCCCATGTACACATTGGCATGCAAGTAAATGATCCATTGTCAGTTGGAATTTGATATAAGAGAAGGCCGTAGCACACTGTATGGCATATGCCTATCTTCATTTGCCCAGTCAGAGCAGAACAGTAGGATGTTAAACCCTATTTCAGTTCATTTCTACCTTGTGGGTTTTCTCCGGACCCTCCGGTTTCCTCTCACTGCTAAAGACTCCTACGCGCATGCGAATAATTGAAATAAAATTGAACCATATGTTAGTCCCGAAATGACCTAGTTTGTGTCGAGTGGACGTTAAACCCCATTTCTCTCTCTCTCTCTCCGCATGTGCACTGAATGGGAAGGGATTTATTGGTAAAAAATTAAATTAAAAATGGTCCCTTAATTTCTCTTTCTCTTTATGAATAAATTGAAATTGTGAATATTTGTTTATGTACTTGAACACAATCTTTAAGTGGCATTTAGAAATGAAATGAAATGAGGTTTAACGTCCTACTGTTTTGCTCCGACTGGGCTAATGAAGACGGGCATATGCCATACAGTGTGCTATGAGGGAAATTTTGCCCAGGTAGCGGCACTGTGGCCTACTCTTATATTGAATTCCAACTGCCAGCGGATCTTTTACGTGCATGCTTATGTACACATGGGTCCTCAGTTTTTCATCCCATCCAAATGACTAGACATCTGTCCTTGTCAGGACCTCCGTCCTGCACCACGGACATGGGGAAACCAGGGCAGAAAAATCCTGATGGGATACAATCACTAATTTTATTATTATAAGCACTGTGCTTGATAACTCTAAGAGGATTACTGTTGAAACATCGTGCTTATAAAATAAATCTAGTGATTGTTTCCCATAAAAATCAGGGGGGTTGGATGGCTGAATGGTTAGCGTACGCGCGCTGTACCATAAAGTCTGTCATTGAGTCGACTGGCATGGTTTCGAATCCCCGGTTGTACGTGGCAAGGAGTTGGGTCGCCTGTCCAACCTCGTGGGTTTTCTCTGGGTCCTCCGGTTTCCTCCCACTGCTAAAGACCCCTACGCGCAAGCGAATTATGTAAATAAAAACCATATGTTAGTCCCGAAATGACCTAGTTTGTGTCGAGTGGACGTTAAACCCCATTTCTCTCTCTCTCTCCATAAAAATCATGTTCTGGCCCCCAATGATTAAAATACGCAAAGAGCTGAGACATATAAAGCAAGCAAAAATTACAAGTGTGCTGCATCGAGAAACATTCTTAGAAAATTCAATACAGTCTGTTTGTAGAAAAAAGAAAAGTTAATTTTATTGTGCAATGTAACACAATATTCAAGAGGTTGGATTTTTATGGCTATAATTGACGCGTCCTGATTATTAGGAGTTGGACATAAATTTGGCTAATAGAAATTTGATCAGTCTCAAGATCAGCTGAATGTGACCTTGCAAATATTAACGTGTCTGGGTAGAAAAAGTTATGAAGAGAGTTTATTAAATGTGGCTATGACGACCTCGTTATCCTCATTTCTACAAATGTTAAAGACCCATTTCTGTTTTGATTGCCTAAAAAAAAATGCCAAAATGTTATTAATAATGATCCGAATTGATCTCTCATGTTGGATGAATATCTGATGTGTCGGAAATGTATCCATTCATGATTAAAATGAATAAATTCAAATATGGGTGTGTGATGAACTGGACAAAGACTAGTCTTCGTACAGTGTAGGTTTCATCACTTGCATGTGCACTGAATGTGAAGGGATTTATTGGTAAAAAATTAAATTAAAAATGGTCCCTTCATGCATGCAATTGGACACAATAGAGTAAGAAGAGATTAAAATATTTAAAGGAAGTCATTTTGTCTACCATCTAAATCCAGTTTTCCCCCACTGCTAAAGACCCCTACATGCAAGCAAATTATTGAAAGAAAATTAAACCATATGTTAGTCCCAAAATGACCTAGTTTGTGTCGAGTGGACGTTAAATCCCATTTCTCTCTCTCTCTCTTTACCATCTAAATCTGCAGGATTAAATTTGAATAAAAAAATACCAGAATATGCTGAGATAGTTCAATTTGTAGTGGTATATAATTTTTCCTCCCTCTCTCTCTCTCTCTCACTCTCTCTGTCTCTCTCTCTCTCATAATTACTTCTATGGTTAATGTCCATGATCAGATTATAGAATATTATAAAGAATATTTTTCGCAGTATAAAGATAATTAGTTCCTTATTTAACTATAGACAATCTGGTCAATATAGCTGCTGTGGGCATATGTTTTGTTTGCTACGTTTTGCAAAGATCAAGATCATTATTCTGTCATTTGGATTCAATTTGCTTTCTGCCTGAAATTAAATGATGTTGAAGCCTCTTAAATCGTTGATACAATTACCTATTCTTGATAGATTATATAAATTAGTTGTAGACTTAAGGAGCCATTTGTCTTTTTTTTTGTTTTGAAATATATTATAGATACTAGCAGGATACCCGGCTTCGCTCGGGGGTCATAACTCTGAAACCGGAAGTGGTAGATTAACGCCACCTGGCCTATGTTACTGCCCGGTCCGACCTACCCCTATACCCCAAATTTCAGACTCGGGGCAGATGTAGCCGCCAACCCCGAACAGACTTCGCACGGGGGTCATAACTCCGAAACCGGAAGTGGCAGACTAACGCCACCTGGCCTATGTTACTCCCCGGTCAGAGCTACCCCTATTCCCCAAATTTCAGACTCGGGGCAGACCTAGTGTAGCCGCCAACCCCGAACAGACAGACTTCGCTCGGGGGTCATAACTCCGCAACCGGAAGTGGTAGACTAACGCCACCTGGCCTATGTTACTCCGCGGTCCGAGCTATTCCTATACCCCAAATTTCAGAGTCGGGGCAGACCTTGTGTAGCGGCCAACCCCAAACAGACCGGCTTCGCTCGGGGGTCATAACTCCGAAACCGGAAGTGGTAGACTAACGCCACCTGGCCTATGTTACTCCCTGGTCCGAGCTACCCCTATACCCCAAATTTCAGACTCGGGGCAGATGTAGCCGCCAACCCCGAACAGACAGACTTCGCTCGGGGGTCATAACTCCGAAACCGGAAGTGGTAGACTAACGCCACCTGGTGTATGTTACTCCCCGGTCGGAGCTACCCCTATACCCCAAATTTCAGACTCGGGGCAGACCTAGTGTAGCCGCCAACCCCGAACAGACCGGCTTCGCTCGGGGGTCATAACTTCGAAACCGGAAGTGGTAGACTAACGCCACCTGGCCTATGTTACTCCCCGGTCCGAGCTACCCCTATACCCCAAATTTCAGACTCAGGGCAGACCATAGTGTAGCCGCCAACCCCGAACAGACAGACAGACAGACAGACAAACGACAGTCACAAATATATATATAGATTACTTATAGTTCAGTACACCTACATACAGTTTTATAACAAACTATTTATCAATATTTTTTATGTTCTTTGTTCAAAATTACTGGAATAGATTTGAAAGGAATTGCAGTTTTTATCTCTTGTCAACACATTACTTCTGCCATTTTTAGACAAAGATATGGTTAAGTTTGCATTTTGAGATAGAATTGTTAAGTACTCCTACTCTTCTTTCATTTCAACTTGTAAAGTTCTTTTATCTACACAGGGGGTTGGATGGTCAAATGGTTAGCATGTGCGCACTGTATCATACTGTCTGTCATTGAGTCAACTGCCATGGTTTTGATTCCCCGGTTGTACCTGACAAGGAGTAGGGTCGCCTGTACAACCTTGTGGGTTTCTTCGGGTCCTCTGGTTTCCTCCCACTGCTAAAGACCCCTACGCACAAGTGAATTATTGAAATAAAATTGAACCAGGTGTCAGTTCCTTAATAACCTAGTTTGTGTTGAGTGGAGATTAAACCCCATTTCTCTCTCCCTCTTTTATCTGCACACCAATGGGTGTACTGACAGACATCTACTCTTCCTTGATTTCAATGGACAAGGTTTTATTTGCACACCAATGAGTGCACTGATGGACATAATTTTCTGTAACATCCAAACAACTAGGCAGACTTTCCATTTCAGTCTGAATTTCACCACACCTGACTAATGATGGTCGGGTTTGAAAAATCACAAAGGTTTTTCCCCAAGATTAAAAACCAGGACATTCTTGTCAGATGGCTCCTGCACTGCATACTTGTTCTTTTTAAATTGGTTAGTGACACATCTTCTAGAACCATTTCTTCACAATGGAACAGTATATTTTCTGTTTAGTGGATACTTCTGAAATCCAAGTCTGAATTTATTTTTGAAGATAGTAGTCTTCTACGGCCAGGAAGCAGGACATGATAGTCAAGCTGTGTGATCACTGACTATCGATAGGAATATCCTCAATCTGATTAAAACACAGATCCTATTTCGTTTCGTTTTTTATAGTTCAAAATTTCGTTTTACTTGTCTGGGATACTGCACTAGGATATGGAAGAGTTGTTATAATACCGGTGTTTTGGTTGAAGTGAGGGATAAGCCAATGAAGCGATGTGTTAGGGAACTGTGGGTAAACCACTAGAAAAGTCAACGCTTATTGATTAATCAATGTCTAACATCATAGGGTCAAAAGCCGCTTGTAGGACCCCTGACTCGACCTTCGCATACAAATTGTCAGATCTTTATGTTGTGTAGGCCATCAAAAGTATTAAAAAAAACGAAACGAAATATAGATCTGTATTTTAATCAGATTGGAATATTTTAGGTTGAAAAGTAAGACATTGAACCCCATTTTGTCTCATATGTCATTTTAAATTTTTTTCCATTTTATTTTCAGGTTTGTCAACATCCTTACTCAGGTATGAGAAATTGGGGAGCTGAAGCAGTGACATCATTGGTTCGAGCAGCTCTTGCTTTTAAATATGATACACCACTTGAAGAGAATCTGGTAGGTCATAAAATATACCTTATTTGCTGTGTATAGTTTGTTAAATTTGTCTATTAATTTATAAATTCTAACAGCTTGAACCTAAGTACCGGTATTTTCAATATTCTTGAATAATTCCCATTGTTTATTTCTCAACATCATCTACTGTACAGAAACTTTATTTTGGTTGCCAATTGATTTCAAAATTAGAATTTGAGAAATGTTTGAGGTTTGCAAGATTTGGTAAGTTTGTAGAGGGACCATCATATAGTAGGCCTACCAGTATGTATAACTGGAGAGAGAGAGAAATGGGGTTTAACACCCACTTGCCTTAAACCAGGTCATTTCAGGACGAACACATAGTTCAATTTTATTTCAATAATTCGCTTGCGCGTAGGGGTCTTTAGCAGTGGGAGGAAACTGGAGGACCCGAAGAAAACCCACGAGGTTGGACTGGCAACCGAACTCCTTGTCACGTACAAGCGGAGAATCGAAACAGCGCAACTTGACTCAATGACAGACAGTATAATACAATGCACATGCGTTAACCATTCGCTCCCCGCCCTTCAACTGGACCCCTTTAAACGTAGATATATTACTTTGATTAGCAACTTGTTTATTCTTGTTTGATAATTTGTTTTAATATCCATCCCTTAAATTCTGATCTTGTTAATTTTATGATGAAAAATTTACTCTGGTAAATGCCTCTTTTCACTAATATTGCTCTTTAAGGTATGTGATATCATCTGATGATGTTACAAACATAATGAGTAAAAGCCGTTTAGACCTAAAGCTATCTAAAATTGTGATGATAAAACTATAGAAAATTGGGTTAATGAAGTAGCATACCTGGGATGGGAGCTCTGACGGTAGCAGCACTTGCTGGGGGAAGACCACTTTTAGTCTACTGCATTGAAAAAAAGTTATTTTTATGTTGGGACAGTAGAAAGATTCCTGTTGACACAATTTTTTGTTTCCACAAGAACACAGCTTTTTAACAGTCAAAGTCTATTTGATTCATATTGTGTGGTGTTTTTTGGAAGAGGAGTGGTTGGGGGAGATTGCAAGGATCGCTCCAAGTGGCACAAAGTCTGAACTATGCCAGGAACGCTCCAAGTGGCACAAAGTCTGAACTATGCAAGGAACGCACCAGGTGGCACAAAGTGTGAACTATGCCAGGAACGCTCCAAGTGGCACAAAGTCTGAACTATGCAAGGAACGCACCAGGTGGCACAAAGTGTGAACTATGCAAGGAACGCTCCAGGTGGCACAAAGTCTGAACTATGCAAGGAACGCACCAGGTGGCACAAAGTTTGAACTATGCAAGGAAAGTTTCAGGTGGCACAAAGTCTGAACTATGCAAGGAACGCACTAGGTGGCACAAAGTCTGAACTATGCAAGGAACGCACCAGGTGGCACAAAGTCTGAACTATGCAAGGAACGCACCAGGTGGCCCAAAGTCTGAACTATGCAAGGAACACACCAGGTGGCACAAAGTCTGAACTATGCAAGGAACACACCAGGTGGCACAAAATCTGAACTATGCAAGGAATGCACCAGGAGGCACAATATCTTAACTTTGCAGGACTGCCCCAGGTGCTCCAAACTCTTAACTATGCCACTGATGAAGTTTAAACTCATTGACACGATCACTTGAATATTAAATAATAAAAGTAATGGTGGAAGAACTCATCTACGTACCTCATTATTTGTCTTGTTATTTAACAAATTCCTTGTAGCTTCATCATCATTGTCAAACTTTAAATATCATTTGAGCTTTATAAAGCAATTTTCATGGACCAATAAGTCACAAATTGGATTGGCGAATGACCATTTTGTTCATGATGATATTTTTTACGGTTGATGAAGGTGGTAATGTTCTTGATTAATGTTTAGAATAGACGAGACATTCATCGTTAATTGGCCATCGGTTCATCTGCTTACTGAATATTAACTTCTTTCGCTCTTTTACCTAAAGTAATTTTCGCTGCTTAATAACTTTTGTTGTTCTATGGGCTACAGATGTATTGATGTGCTTCATAGTCGTTTGCCTGTATTTATATTTTTGATAATGGAAGAATTTAAATGAAATTGTGCAAGTATTAGAATACATCCTCAAGCATTTTATCCTAATTGTTGATATACAAATAATAAACTGTGTTAAAACAAAAAAAAATCTATATTCTTAAAATTTGATCACACACTTGTACGAGTACGAAACTGCCTGGGGTTCTTTTACTGCTATACTATGTACCGGAAAACACCGAAAAACACCAGAAAACAACCGGAAAACACTGAAAAACTACCGAAAACACTGGAAAACACCATGTTATACAGAATACCGGAAAACACACTAAATACCGGAAAACACCCTAAATAGGTAACCAGAAGGGGCTATACTATAAACCGAAAACTAACCCTAACCCTAATCCTAACCCAGGCACAGAGAGGACCAGGCTCCGGGTTACCTATTTAGGGTTAGGGTGCCAGTCTCCGGGTTACCTATTTAGGGTATTTTTCCAGTGTTTTCCGGTATTCAGTATAAAATGGTGTTTTCCGGTAGTTTTCCAGTAGTTTTCCGGTATATAGTATTGCCGTTCTTTTACGTACACAACAATGCTTATATAGGAGACTACCATTGCCAGGCCCTCCGACCTCTGTCCTGTAATACTGACAAGCAGAGACAACGCCAGAAAATCCTGATGAACTTCTCTACCAACATCGGGATGGAACACAGATCCTCCATATAAGTGAGCCAGTGCCTTGAGCTCTGAGCCACCGCGGCTCCCATAAGTCAAACAAGGAGTAGGGGATGCCTGTCCAACCTCATGGGTTTTCTCCGGGTCCTCCGGTTTCCTCCCACTGCTAAAGACCCCTACGCACAAGTGAATTATTGAAATAAAAAATTGAACCATGTGTTAGTCCGGCAATGACCTAGTTTGCGTCAAGTGGATGTTAAACCCCATCTCTCTCTCTCTCTCTCTCTCTCTCACCCATAAGTCAACTATGTACTATTGTAATGTAAAGACTGTTGTTATCATGTATAAGCACATCTTGGTATTAAAATACCTTCATGAAGAATGAGTTGGCTTGTACCAAAAACTAATATTTCTGTCTAAGAGGGATACAGATGAGTGACATCAATAGACACTTTTTGGCCAAATTCATTTTTCTACTTTCGATTGTGTATGTCATAAAGTTTATATTTTACCTCAATTTTGACATTTTGGGACTTTTGTATAACTCAATTTGTACTGTATTTTTTTTTATATAATCATTTTATGTTTTGAAAGAATAATTACAGGGATGGGATTTATTTTATTTCAGAAACTACAGAAGACAATCTTGGCACCATTGCAGGAACTATCTAATGTTACCCATTCTGATATTCGACAGAAACAATTGGAATGTGTTCTTACTATTCTACACAATAATGGATACAAACTATTGCATGGATGGCCTTTAATATTAGGAGTCATTGGAGCTGTTAAGAACACTCAAAGGTAAGCTTCAAATAATATACATACACTTGTTAGTGTTCTGGGGGGTTGGATAGCCGAATGGTTAGTACATGCACGCTGTATCATAAGCTCTGGCATTGAGTCAACTGGCATAGTTTCCATTCCCCAGTTGTACGTGACAAGGAGTAGGGTCGCCTGTGTAACCGTGTGGGTTTTCTCTGGGTTTGTGTTGAGTGGACGTTAAACCCCCTCTCTCTCTCTCTCTCTCTCTCTCTCTGTTAGTGTTCTCCCTATAATATTCTGCCCCCAGAGCTGGTCAAATCAAAATGGGTTTCCATCTGATCAAAAGGGGTGGATGATTCTCTTGCAAATCTTGTTTACTCCCACTTCAGAAGAGCGCTTTTTATATGCCCACATTTTTAAGTGGTTGTACTTTATCACCATATCCGTGTGCCTGTCTGTCCATCGTTCAATCTTCTTGTCAGCACAGTAGAGGCTACAATAATTCATTTATCTTTTTTAAATTGACATGAGTTGCCTGTCTCATTACACTGTAACCCAGGTATCGTTTAATCTTGTGTATCTAGCACTAATTTTTGTTTAAAAATTTGTAAAAACTGTTTAAAATCACCATAAATCGTTTAATTTGTACATGTGTCCAGTTTAAAGCTGACTGATTAATTTTGGTAATGAGTGTCCCATTTGAGTTAGTTGCTCGGCCCTTAGATAGAGGAATTAAAGGGATTTTAACACAAAATTAAGCAGTTTTATTTTCCCAAAAATATCGGGTTTAGCCCTTTAATGTGTTTGATTTTTTTAGCTCGCAACTTTTTGGATGACTTGGCTGTTGGTGGGCATTTCCTTTCAAACGCACCATTTGAATAGATATTCAAAGATTTTTCCACAACATCCAGAGTTATTCCCCTTTGTTATGAAATCTTGTTAGCATCTTATGATCCAGTCTTGAATGTTTTTGATTTTTTTTATCTCGTAACTTTCTGGACGACTTAGCTGTTGGTGGGCATTTCCTTTCTACAGCATTTTTTGAATAGATCTAGTTAATCCCAGTTTTATTTGTTGTGCCCCGTGTGATTGATCACATAAAAGACAATTAACCACAGATGAAACATCATCCTTTGATGTTTTTGAATCATTATATCAAATAATGGTAGGGATCAAGACCTTGCCAATCAAATATCAAAAGCTGGCGATCACGTATTAGCATCAGTATATTACTTAATGTCTCGCTCTCGACTTTTAAAACACATCAAATTTGATGCATATAATAAAGTCATGCAAAGCTGGTAATGAAATTTCGTAGGAAAGGGAATCCAACGATCAATGCATTAACATGTAGTAGGTTACCACATTCATCAGCAAAAAAACAAACCGTTTTGGTCAACTAATATAATACCCTTGTATAGATTCGATTTTCTGCTTACACCACAGGGTTCAAATAATGTAAATAGTCTAGGTGAGACTTCAGCAAACTTTGGTCAGACAGGGAAAGTAATTATCAGTGATTAGAAATTGATATTTACAAGGATTCCTCCTGATTAATACACTACCCTGCCATACCTATCATTATTATAATAAGAGTTGTGATCTCTATTTATAACAATTCTTTCATACGGCATGTAATGATACATATAGAAAAACATGTAGTTGTAAGCAGTAGTGTACGAGGCAGAGTACCCCGCCCCCCCCTTTCTGCCATTCATAAGGGTTGCGATTTCTGTTTATATCACTTCTTTCGTACCGCATGTACTGATACATGTACCAGCATATAGAAAAATATGTAGTTGTAAGCAGTGGTGTACGAAGGCAGAGTGAAATTTTGCCCGGACAACGGCACTATGGCCTACTCATATATCGAATTCCAACTGTCAAAGGATCTTTTACGTGCACGTCAATGTGTACACGGGACCTCGGTTTTTCGTCCCATCCGAAAGACTAGACAGCTGTCCTTGTCAGGCCCTCCGTCCTGCATCACTGACAAGGGAGAACCAAGCCGGGAAATCTGGATGTACTTTCTCGGCCGATGCAGGGATCGAACACCCAACCTCCAGACTAGTGTGCCAGCGTCTTACCCACTTAGCCACCGTGATCCCCTACTATTGTGGAAGCAGACATGAAACCACAAGATACTACTTGGTTAGATCTTTTTGACAAGGCCAACTTCCAATTTGGTCAAAGGTCAAAAGGTGTAAACAAGGCTAGCACTAATCCCAACCCTAACCCAAACCCTGGACCTAGCCCTAATGCTTACCATAACCCTAACCCTAACCTATTATTTCGCCAACAATCACAAGTCATAACCTTATTTACATCTCAGCGAGCTTGACTAAAATTGAGCTGGCCTTAACAAATAGATTTAGCCAATACTACTGCCACTAATATTATCACTTGGAATTTGTGGACATGGAGGGGTACAGGCTCAAGTGCTTGCTAATATCACCGATCTTGGCGAATATACCAAAATGTGACTTTTTTTTAAGGATACAAATATTGATAATATTATAGAGATTTTTGGTACTTCAGAGTTTTAGACTTGAATATCAATCCTGAAGATATTCTAAAAAAAAATTAGGTGGAATAGTTGATGTAATGCTTGCCCAAATTTCTGGGGGATCTTTACCACTTGTTATAACTGAATATAATACTATGACTAATCTCCTATTCAACTAAAAAATACACATGATAGTTTCTTTCTGCTTTCAACAATTCTTTTGGCAACATTAATTTACTGGCTTAAAATTTATGGTTGTGAAATACAGAAGATTCCAAAAGGTAAACTCTTATAATTGGCAGCTGCTCAACACCTACCAGAAAAACAAATGTTGAACTGAAAAATTGTGAGAGTAATTTAACTTGATGGATGTTTACTGTTTGTACACAGAGAAACGCCATTACATAGACCGTCAGTAACAGATAATGTCATGCAATATTTCAATTATGTGACAGATTCGAGGAAACCTTAGTATGTTCACTTGCCATGTTTTTCTTTGCTTAATCTAGCTCATCATGAAATAACAAAAAATGAAGGATACCATATTCAAGTTTACTAGTTAGTTCTTTCAAACACGACTTATGTGTTATTAGATGGCCAAAAAAAAAAGCACTCAGACAGACAAAAAACAGAGATGACATCCCAAAGCCTTTCCTAAATCCCTTCTTAATACTCGAGATTATGTCATTTCACCCGTCTTTCATTTATGTCTGCTCATATGATATGATTTCTGTCCCCATTTAAATGCTTCTTATCATATTTCTCGGTAGTTCCTGTTTACGTACTACTACTACTATCACAGATTAGTTTCATTTCGTGTTCGTTTTTGATAAGTTAATCTTGTTTTGTGGTCAGCAAACTATAATCTTAATGGCCATGAGATGATGAAATAGTACCATAAGCCTTTGATGTAAAGATGGAAATTTCAAATTATGAAATTAAATGGAATGGGGTTTAATTCCAATTAAGTACTTACATTAATGCTGCACCACTTCAACTGATGTAAACATTTCTTAGCTGAAAAACAATTTCAAGGACTAATGGATTATTGTATTAAATAAATTTAAGAGAGAGAGAGAGAGAGAGAGAGAGAGAGAGAGAGAGAGAGATGAAATGGGGTTTAGCATCCTACTGTTCTGCTCTGAACTGGGCTACTAAAGACAGGCATACGTCATACAGTGTGCTATGAGGGAAATTTTGCCCGGACAGCAGCACTAAGGCCTACTCTTATATCGAATTCCAACTGTCAAGGGATTTTTTACGTGCATGCCAATGTGTACATCTGACCTTGTTTTTTTGTCCCATCTAAACGACTAGACAGGAATTGAACACCCGACTTCCTTTGTATTGAGCCAGCCTCTTACCCACTTAGCCACCATGACCCCTGAGAGAGAGAAAGAGAGAGAGAAAACCCACCGGGTTGGACAGGCAGCCCTACAAGTGGGGAATCGAAACCACGCCTCTCAACTCAATGACAGTCCTTGTGATCTAACACCCCCCCCCCTCTCCTCACACTAATATGGTATTCTGAATATATGGATCAGATATCTGTCATTTTAAAGGACAATATTGGTGTCAGTCATTATCGCATATGTGATATAAAAACTTTCGGTCTTGGAAGGAATTATTAGTGAGCAGAAATTTGGCCATGTATCTGTTATCACTCGTCACTTCAGTCAGTTATATAGAGGGATGACTTGTGTTTTCCTTTGGCGATCGTCACTTCCGATTCAGGAAACCTGTATTACTCAGCTATCGTAGCAATGATCTCTGTGTTAAAATTATATTTGGAATGTGTTTAACCAGCTCTATCACATACTAATATTGTCCTTTAAAGTATAGTCAAGTACTTCTATATTTATGGTCAAGAAACATAAAATATATACAACAATTGTCAGGTTAATATATCTCTCCTTTATTTCTTCATTTCGTGATGGACATCAATTCATGAATGTGACTGTCTGTCTTTAAAAGGTTTTATCAGATGTTGTAATAGTGCCTATTAAGATTAAGAACATTAATTGGTACACAAGGGCCGCAATGTAATAATACTTTTGTTGGATTTCACAGACAAGACTTGGGTTAAGTGGTAGATTACTGTAAAGTCTATGTATGGAATTTAAAGAGAGTGAGAGAAATCAGGTTTAACGTCCACTCGACACAAACTAGGTCATTTCGGGACTAACATATGGTTAATTTTATTTAAATAATTCGCTTGCGCATAGGGGTCTTTAGCATTGGGAGGAAACTGGAGGACCCAGAGAAAACCCACGAGGTTGAACAGGCGACCCTACTCCTTGTCACGTACAACCAGAAATTCGAAACCACGCCAATGACAGGTCTTATGATACAGTGCGCACATGCTAACCATTCGTCCATCCCCCCCCCCCCCCCCTGGAAAATAAAGAAATAAATGGACTGTTAAAGCAACTAAATGTTCATGATGTCAACGTTAGTATTGGGATTCAGATCAAGAAGTAATGATATTAGTATTAGTACCTGACATTTCAAATTTTAAATATGTAAAATATCATTAAAACATGGAATTGGAAAGACAACTGTCTAGTTGTTCGGATGGGACAGAAACCATTGTCACGTTTTCGTTACCAAATCAGTAAGTTTAAAGATACATTATGTATAATTTAGATAAAGAACTGACCGTTCTTGGTATAATAGTTCATAAAAAGATAATGCAAAATGAATATATTAAAGATTTCATTCAAATTACTTTATTCTGAGTGAAGTGATCACTATTTGTAGTTTTGACAAGATGTGTGCATTGATGTTTATTAGGCTCGTCTCACCATTTTTAAATTAAATCATTAAATGGCCGAACCGTTCTAATCTACTTAAAATCGGAGCCATCCAATGTCATCGAGAGTTGATTATGATCTTGTCATGGTAATAAATGTGTAATTAATAATTCATATAACATTTAAGGCCTAAAAAAAAGATCTGCAATAGGCAGATTTAGCACTATCACCTACTCTTATATCGAATTCCAACTGCCAAGGGATCTTTTACATGCATTCCAATGTATACACGGGACTTCGGTTTTTCGTCTCATCCGAAAGACTAGACAGCTGTCCTTGTCAGGCCCTCCGTCCTGCATCGCTGACAAGGGGAAACCGCGCCGGAAAATCGGGATGAACTTTCTCGGCCAATGCAGGGATTGAACACCCGACCTCCAGGCTAGCATGATCCCCATCTGCAGAGGAAGCAGGAAGCCGTATATTAAGGAAGTTTCATCTCTCCATGTCTTTGTCAATACTGAGCGGAATTGAACCATTTTTGGGCTGATATTCCCTTTAGAGATTCATCTTTCACCATATAATGGTTTACAAGGGATTCCTCAATCTGTCAGGGGGGGGTGGATGGCCGAATGGTTAGCATGCGCGCGCTGTATCATAAGGCCTGTCATTGAGTCAACTGGCGTGGTTTCGAATTTTTCCATCTTGACATGTGAATTTTTTAGTGTTGACATATGAATTTTTTCGTCTTGACATGTGTAGTTTTTGTCTTGACATGTGAAAAATAATTTTGTTGAATTGTTTATAAAAACCGAATATAGTTGTAAAATATTTCCGTGAACAGTATGTATTGACTTGACTATAACAAAAGAGCAGCAATGGAAAAAAATAATCTTTATTGAATCTTTATACGTCGTTTTGTACAGAAAAAAATGCTTGGAAGGTGATGAAAAAATTGTTATATACTTGATTATTTCTCTTTCCATGCAGAAAAACAATCTTGCAATTAATTCCTCCGCTTTGGCTTGCCATATAAACCCCTAATTATAAGCTTATGTCATTATAATGCTGTTGGGAGCAACTGTCATGTACTGAAGGTAGTCAGGGGGTTGGGTGGCCGATTGGTTAAATGCGCGCATGTATGACCATAAGGTCTGTCATTGAGTCGATTAACGTGGTCTCGATTCCACACTTGTACATGACACGGAGTAGGGTCGCCTGTCCAACCTTGTGGATTTTCTTCAGGTTCTCCGGTTTCCTCCCACTGCTAAAGCTCTCTACTCGCAAGCAAATTATTGAAATAAAATTCAACCATGTATTAGTCCTGAAATGACCTAGTTTGTGTCGAGTGGACGTTAAACCCCATCCCTCTCTCTCCCTCTCTCTCTCTCTCCCCAGGGAGGACCTATTGTTGTGTTACTATTTTTTTTGTTAAATGTCAACTTCTTATGTATAAAACTCTAGGACATATTATAAATGACTCTTAATGCATTACGTGGCATTATGTGGAACCTAAAACAAGCAGTGGCTGACACAAAAAAGCAATATATCAGAATGCAATGAAATCATTTCTTTTTACTTGTACAAAGTGTGGGGGAACAGTATTACACAATCACAAGTTTTTTTTGGAATTTGGCATTTATTTAATTGGCATAGCAAATTGTTTTGCTGACATATTGACAAAAGACAATATGAAGTAACAAAATTGCCTTTGGGATTCTTTCTGAGATTGTCTTCAGCAGTTGGTTGACCGTTGCTGATAATAATTGGAAGGGTCTTAATGTACATACTTAACAGTTAAAGGGAGACAACTACTAAATTCTTACCAAGATATTCAATTTGTGTGATTGTTAGTATTTTTGCTCAGCCTATCAAGAATGAAAACTTCAGACTACTGTCTAGTAGAAATGAATATGTACATACATATGATGTCTTTCTTGGCAAATCTAATCTAGTTTATTAATGTAGCTAGATTAACTTTGTCCGTGTCTGGATAGGCTATAAGGGATGGGCCCAGTGGACACAGGATATAAATCAAGTGATTATAGGATTACTTCGAAACACTGTGGAATTTGTTTAGTCAGGGTATAAGATAAACAGAATTGATCACTGCACAATTTGCACATCCCATGTTCTCGCTGTGACTGGCTCCAATGATTATTCTAACCCACTATGTTTCTATTACTGATATAAAGTATATTATGATTACCACAGAAACCCATGATTGTGATCTATGTTTACTCTCATCGCTTATAGATACATTATGTAAGATAGAATAAAAAGCTGGCCTGTTCTTGCTATAGTAGTTCAAAAATAGATAAAATGCAAAATAAATATATTGTAAATTAAAATCAGACCTATCCAATGGAATCAAGTTCACCTCACATTTCTGGTCGATCACTACACATGTCAAGTCGATCATTGCACATTTCAGGTTGATCATTACACATGTCAGGTCGATCATTGCACATTTCGGGTCAATCATTACACATGTCCGGTCGATCATTGCACATTTCAGGTCAATCATTACACATTTCATGTCAATCATTGCCACATATTTTGTAGGCCTACACAGAATAAAGTTTGTTTCTGTGAAAACTCCAGGTTTATTTTTATTGTACTCTTACAGTTGTATCATATTTATTTATATTTATGTAATCTCGTCCATAATTCCGCGTATACCATTCTTTTTCTCAAAGTGGCATTTCTTGAATATTTAAGCAAAATATAATGGTTATAAAATAGTAGAGAGTAATTTCTCAAATACCGTTATATTTCTCAAATACCATTATATTTCTCAAATACCATTATATTTCTCAAATACCATTATATTTCTCAAATACCGTTATATTTCTCAAAGTGACATTTTCTTGAAACAACAAAGGGATGTTATAAAACAGTAGAGGGTATTATTGAAAATGTTACTATTTTAATCTTGCATTATGCAGATTCATATAAAAGGAGGGAGATGGGGCGGGGGATGGCAGAATAAGTAATGTGTGCATGCTGTATCATAGCATTTGTCATTAAGTCAACTGGCGTGGTTTTGATTCCCCAGTTGTGCGCCTTAAAGCCCATCTCTCTCTCTCTCTCTCTCTCTCTCTCTCTCTCTCTCTCTCTTTCTCTCTCTCTCTCTCTCATCTGAAAGTATTAGCCAATATAAGGAATCCCAAATGAATTTACATAACTTTTCTGTTATGTACTATATGTTTCAATAAAGCTTTTAATGTATGAAAATTTATCCCACAAGGAAGCCTACTTGGTATGGTTTTTCTTTGTCCTGTTCTTTATGCCTTTAAATTGTACAATAGTTTGGAAATAAATACTGTTTAAAACAAAATTTATCGCAGCAAGGTAGAAAATATTACTTCTGATCTAGAAATTTTCCCTGTACTTGATTTCGTATTGTTCTGGGGTAATACTCAGTGTAAATGAAATGAAATGAAATGGGGTTTAGCGTCCTACTGTTCTGCTACTATATTGGGCTAATGAAGACGAGCATATGCCATACAGTGTGCTATGAGGGAAATTTTGCCTGGACAGCGGCACTATCGCCTACTCTTATATCGAATTCCAACTGCCAAGGGATCTTTTACGTGCATTCCAATATATACACGCGAAATTGGTTTTCCATCTCATCCGAAGGACTAGGCAGCTGTCCTTGTCAGGCCCTCCATTCTGCACCACTGACAAGGGGAAACCACGTCGGAAAATCTGGATGAACTTTCTCGACCAATGCAGGGATCGAACACCCGACCTCCAGACTAGCGAACCAGCATCTTAACCACCTAGCCACCTTGGCTCCCAATACTCAGCATATTGAACAGTAACTAAATCAAGTTGGTCCAATGTTTTTGTTAAAATTTTAAGCAAATATTAATCCATGTTTTAATTTCAGTGAGAAATTAGTGCAAACAGCTTTTCAATCTCTGCAACTGGTAGTAGCTGATTTTCTACCGATAATACCCAGTATATATTTAAAGAATTGTGTTGAAGTTGCTGGTAGATTTGGTTTACAGAACAAAGAATTAAATGTGAGTCTAACAGCTATAGGATTGTTGGTAAGTACTTGATTTCATATTTTCATCTGTTTGTTTGAAATGTCTGCAGGCCCGTAACTAGGAGGGGTGCAAGGGTGGGTGGGCGCAAAGCCACCCTGCAAAAAGTACCCTCCCCCCCACTCCCTTGTGAAAAAATTGTTGATCATTAAAAAAATAGATATACATTGTAAGTCAATTTTACAGCACCCCTGAGAACACTTCCCACCTCCCTTGTTGCTCTGAGCTAGTAACGGCCCTGAATGTCTGATTATATCAGGGGGAGGGGCTGAATGGTTTAACACATGCACATTAGATCATAAGGTCTGTCATTGAGTCAAGTGGCATGGTTTTGATTCCCCACTTGTACGTGACAAGGAGTGGGGTCGCCTGTTCAACCTCGTGGTTTTCTCCAGGTCCTCCTGGTTTCCTCCCACTGCTAAAGACCCCTACACGCAAGTTAATTATTGAAATAAAATTGAACCATATGTTAGTCCCATATGTCCTACTTTTCTGCACCAACAGAGGGCTGAAAAAGAAAGGATATGTCATACAGTGTGCTATGAGTGTTATTTTGCAATGACCACAATGCTACGGCCTACTCTTATTTGGGTTCCAAACAATTAGGGGATCTTTAACGCTCAGCCAATGGTATACATGGGACATCGGTTTTACGTACGATCTGAACAACTATACACCAATCATCACTAGGCCCCCAGTCTTTGCACTGACAAGTGGGAAATTGGACAGGAAAGTCAAGCCATTGTTGATCACCAAAAGCTTGCATGAAACTAGTGCTGGGTATTGTCACTGTAGTCACGATACGATACGTATTGCGATTCAGTTGCTACGCTTCTATTTGTTTCACGATTCATAACCAGGTAAATGATTACCAAGAAAAACTGGTTTATATCAAGATATTGATGTGGATCAAAATAAGCACCAAAACAATTTAAGAGTGTTTGTGTACCTGTGGATAATGTGTGACATGGATAATTAAGAGTAACTGTTTACTTACTGAAGCATAACATAAAAAAGAATTGTGAAAAATTGATTCAGCGTCTCGCGATTCAATATGAGAAGGTGAATTGCAATACATGTACATTGATTGAATGATATACCTGCCATGAAACAGTCCCTTATGAAAACGGAATTTATAAGTTGGGTCCTGAAAAATCATTGTATGAAGATAAAGTTCTGATTAATTTGAGAATAAATATTCTGCAAATGACTTGTGTACTATTACCAAAAAATAGAACAATAGCTCACAGTTCTTCAGTTGGATATAATTTGGAATCGTCCAATTTCCTTCTTTCTTTCAGTGGAACATTTCTGATTTCTTCTACCAAAATCGTCAAAGAATATCCGATGAACTGAACACAGGAAAAACTGAAGAAAGTAAGAAAGAATCTGAATTAGCTTTTGATGATCTGTGGATGAGTCTGTTTTCTAGTCTCGGAGATCTGTGTGTAGATGATCGACCTGCTGTTCGTAAAAGTTCTGGTCAAACTTTGTTTTCTACAATCTCTGCTCATGGAGGACTCCTTCAGAAAGAGACGTGGAAACGAGTACTGTGGCAGGTGAGTTTTATTTGTTCTCTACTGTAGGGTGACAGGTATCATGCACAATGCAGGATATAAAATGTACTTTCTTGTTGGAATTCCCTTTTTATATGCCCCTGTGAAAGGTTGGTTGTATATAGTTGTGGTCCCGATCTGTCGGATTGTCCAACTTTGTGTAATTCCTCTTAAAGTCAGAGCTTCTGAGATTTGTTTTTCAAATATGCTTGGTTTTTTTCAACTGTTCACAGACATGATTCCTATGGAAAAACATTCAGAGTCAGTTATTCTTTGAGAGTTATTGCTCTTGTCATTGAAAACTTGTTAGCAGTTTTTGTTTCAAATTTGCTGGGATTTTGGAGAAATTCTTTTCTAAACTTCAGAACATTAATGCGCTGCAGTGCAATGGGGTTTAACGTCCTACTTTTTTGCTCCAACTGCAGAACATTAAATTGGTGACAACCTTTAAAGACAGCTCAGAAGATCAGCCTACTGATTGCTGTATATTTCAACACCTCGCCAACATTGTTGTTCTTTATTATTGCTCTTAATGTAAAGACATATTTCTTTTAACCTCAATTGAAATTATTTATCTTAGATCTCTGCTTAATTCTGACCACATTTTAATAAAAAGGGAGTATTTTGCATGAAATACTATGTTTTCAATTTTTGCTATATTTTCAGGTTCTCTTCCCATTATTGGAGAAAGTTCAGTCATTATCTAGCAGTGCCTCTACAACTAAAGATGAAATGACTGGCAATATATTAATTCATCATTCCCGTGACACGGCCGAGAAGCAGTGGGCAGAAACACGAGTATTATCTCTAGCAGGAGTAGCCAGAACATTTAATTCCAAACGACAAATATTACATCAAATAGGTTTGAATATTTTGCAATAAGAGCACGTATTATGAATTATTTATACAAATTTATGTAAAATTTTAAAATGAAATGAAGAGCCCAAGGGAAGATCGGTCTATGTCACTTTTTCCATGAACCGCAGTTAATGGCACCATCTGGTAGCAAATTGTATTAGTTTTCTGTGGAACAATCGATTTCAGGTAAAAACAATCAGAGTTACAGCGATGGCCGAATGGTTAGCGCATGCGTGTTGTATCATAAAGTCTATCATTGAGTCAGCTGGTGTGGTATCGATTTCCTGGTTGTACGTGTCCAACCATTGTGGGTTTTCTCCGGGTACTCCGGTTTACTCCCACTGCTAAAAGACCCCTACGTGCAAGCAAATTATTGAAATAAAATTGAACCATATGTTAGTCCCGAAATGACCTAGTTTGTGTCAAGTGGACATCAAACCCCATTTCTCTCTCTCTTCCCCTGGGCTCTTCAAATAGCTTTAGAGTTTTACTCTTCTGTACCAACCAGCTTAATGAAGAAGCCATACATTAGTGTGTTATGACCAACTTTTATTTTGATTTCCAACAGTCACGGAAACTTCATTGTGCTGTCAATGTTATACATGATTTACATCCCATCCGAAGAACTGGTTGCTTTTCCTTACCAGACCCTCTGTCAAGTCAATGCATTTTAACCTGGAGTTAACTCTCTATGTCTGAAATAAATGGGGTTTTATGTCCTACTATTCTGCAACAAGCAGGCACCAACTAAGAGTAAGCTGTGTCAAAAGTTTTTTCCCAGGGTTTCTTCCTAGTGGTACACTTCAGATACCCTAAATAGGTAACCCGGAGAATGGCCCCCTAAATAGGTTACCGGGAGCCTGGTCCTCTGTGTGCCTGGGTTAGGGTTAGTTTCCGGTTTATAGTATTACCCTTCTCCGGGTTACCTATTTAGGGTGGTTTTCGGTATTTAGTGTGTTTTCTGGCATTTAGTGTTTTTCCGGTGTTTTCCGGTATTCAGTATAACATCTTGTTTTCCGGTAGTTTTTCAGTGTTTTCCGGTTGTTTTTCAGTGTTTTCCGGTTGTTTTTCAGTGTTTTCCGGTATATAGTATAGCCCTTTGATTTATACTTTATTAATTTTTCAGGGGATTTTCCCAGAGCATGGTCTTTATTATTAGAACATATAGAGAACTCGGCATTATGTCCGAGTGCTGAAGTTTCTTTGGCAGCCTTGAAAAGCTTCCAAGAAATCTTGCAACTCAATAAAGAATCAAAAACGGATGATCCCAAAACGTTCCTGGAAGCTCCATCAGGAGAAGAAATCAATCGGACAGGAGAGACCAAACCAAAAACTGTAAAACCTAGTATTCCCAAAGCCGTTGTTTCGGATGTTGATATAGCATTGTGGGCTACGGCTTGGAAGGTCTGGTTAAATATCGGTACCCAGGCCACAAAGGCACCAGATAATTCGGACAAAGTTTATGTACCATCTCAGAAATTTCTCACAGCTCTCATTCAGACATTTCCCCCATTATTTATTCACATAAGACCACGTTTTGTGGCGTCTGATCTGAACAAATTATCTAACGTGTTGGTTAGTGCTTTATCGGTGCCAGTACAAGGTGATGCTTCACCATTTATTATACCAACCTATCCTGAAGTTACTGTTACACCTTTACAAGAAGTTACTTTACAAGCTATGGAAGTTCTTATACAGGTAAACAAAATTCATTTGGAGCTTGATCGAGGGGGAGTTGTTTAGTAGAAAAGTCTGAAGCTAGGCTTTCCTGTCAAAAGATATTTGTTCCAAAGAATATAACTGTTTTTAGCATCATTCCAATTGTTTTGAAATGTATTTTTAAGAGTTTATAAACATAAAGATGGTAAATTTGCAGTATTTATTGTGTTTTAAGGTTAAAGATGCATTATTCAAGAGCTAAATCTGCTTATTGCAGGTCTTTCTTTAGGCCTGAAATGTTATCTAAATTATTAATTAGACATTTATTAACATGACAAGACCAGAAATAACTCTCGATGCCATCAGATTCTAGAGATTTTAACACAGTTCGGCCATTTAATGATTAAATTTAAAATGGAGGAGCGAGTCTTAGTCTCGAATATACCAGGACCGTGTTTATGATAAAAAAAAACAATCAATGCACACATCTTGTCAAAACTGCAAATAATGATAACTTGACTAAGAATAAAGTAATTTGAATGAAATTTTCAATATTTTCATTTTACATTATCAATTTTTGAACTATTATAGCAAAAACGGTCAATTCTTTATCAAAATCTTACATAATGCATCTTTAAATTCTTTGAAATTCTAATTTTATGACATGTAAAGTGACTGGAAGGTAAGTTCTCAAACCATGAGTCAAGACCAGGAAATATCACTGAAATGTAAGCCCTGGTCTTAAGCTTGTGTTACAAATCATAGGTCTGTCATCAATGCAAGTCAAGAGTTTTATCCCATATTTGTATTTAACAAGATGTTTTTCTCTGTATTCACAAAATGACAGCCCTGAAATGGCTCAGTTTGTTAAATGTACATTGATTGAACCTCTCTCTCTCCCTTCGCCTTTCTCCATCCCATATCCCCCCTAAACTGTACCACAAAACACATCTTTATCTTGACATTGAGGCATTGGGATGACCTAGTGGACATTGTGGTTTCGATCTCTGGTGTGAGCGTATGTGTCTTGGAAATAGGGGTGCCTTCTCAATCTCGTGGGTTTACTCCGGGCACTCCTGTTTCTTCCCACAGGAAAAACCCCTGCTCGTGCGCTAAGATAATAAAAATGACTATAAGACCACTTGTTTGCGATATCACCTTCGGTAGAAGGGTTTACTCCAGGCACTCCTGTTTCTTCCCACAGGAAAGACCCTGCGATATCACCTTCGGTAGAAGCAGACGTTATGGACTAAGAACAACAGCAATATCTTGACATTCATTTTCTTTCCATCTGGCATTTCCCATGATAAATTGCTATATTAGTGTTTCTAAAATTTATTAAGATTCACTTTAGATCCTTAATTGCCAAATTACCATGTGTTAGTCCAAAAATGACCAAAGTGTTTCATTTTCAGTCAACTTCTAGTGGTCAATGCTAATTTAAATTTTTCCTCTTCCTGTTTTTAGGCAGTAAAAGAAGGAGCAGAATCAACTAATACCATGTTTCCTGAAATATTTGAACAACTGCTGACTTATATCAAGTTCGGAGTTCAGGCTCCTAAATATGGTCATTTAGAAACTAAAGTATTTGGAACAGTCAAAGGTCCACAAGTAAGATTTCTGTTTGCTTTTTTTTTAAAATTAAGAACATTTTTCAAATATACTAGATATAGATACTGGCAAAGACTGGTGGTGAATTAACACACAAATCAGAACTCAAACTAAGAGGTTTGGGTTGTGTTAGGGACATTAGAGGAAACAAATGCGAATGCAAATTTTATCTGAGGCCATATACTTTGGGTAAATTGGTGTGACAAAAGTTCCAATGTTTTAATAATGATAATAAATGTCTGTTTGTAACATGCTAGAAACCTTAAAGTCTGCTCGAAGTACCCGATTCATCCTCATACAGGTATGTATTCAGACAAGGTCTGATTTAATAAGAGATAACTCTTAATTCATGGAGCATTTAGAACTTTTTTTATGTTTTTGATGATTTACAAGATTAACTTCATGTTTTTCCGTACTGATGTCATGTATTACAATACTGGTTTCATGTACTGATTTCATGTTCTTCAGTACTGATTTCATGTTCTTTAGTACCAACATCATGTTCTTCAGTACTGATTTCATGTTCTTCAGTACCAATGCCATGTTCTTTAGTACTGATTTCATGTTCTTCAGTACTGATTTCATGTTTTATTGTACTAATCTAATTATGTTGTATAAATATAGGTTGATTGGGTGACGATGAATTTTGTGCCGTTTTCGGAGAAGACAGTTGATATGGTTGTTGATCTATATTCTGCATCAGCCAATAACACATCAGTTATTAAAGCACATGTTTTACACAATATTATTAAGGTAAGTTGTCTAAAAAGTATACAAAGGGAGTGGGGAACTTTCTGTTAACACATTACGACTCTGATGAATCATAATTACTCCGGACAACCTGAGACTTCTATTGTACTCCGATACCCAATGCCTTTATAAATGGAACAGCCACACAATATCACTTAAGCCTAAAGAACGAAACTATGCAGTAATAACTTTATGAAAGATATCTGGAACTCGGAAGGCTACCCGCCAATTTCAAGTTGTTGGAAGTCAAAAATACCTAAACATAATATGATGTATTAACAATGACCCTGATAACTGAGACTACTGGATGCTTCCAATTTTACCTGAAGCATTTGAATGCAAGGTAATCAAGGAGAAAGTTTTAAAATAAAAACCGATTCTGTGACACAGCAGTATCTGAGAATAAGAATTGTGGAGAACACCACCCTGAAACAAATAAACAGAAGATGATTGGTGTGAAATATCATTTATTCAATGATGACTGAAACATGGGTTCTGCCAGTAATTGAATTTAAAATACAGATGTGACGTCATCCTTTGATGTTGGCGTACCATTATTTCAAATAATGGTACAGGCAATGTTCCAAGTATACATTATTTATACTAGTTGCAATATTGGACCTGTGTGACATATTTCATTGAAATGCACATGCTCGATAGTGTCTCATGCAAGACGTTGCGTAATATATAGATTTGGCACTCATGCTATCGCACTCGTACAATATCAATATATTACTTAATGTCCCACACTCGACCATTAAACTACACATAATTAGATTTTGTGCTTATTAGAACTATCATGCAATTGCCTGATGGACAACTTGCTTCTTATGATTAAATAATTGTTGGGTTGAATCAAAACCCATCTATCCAATCTTTGAACCAGAATAACTTTTTTATATGGCAGAACTACAACTTGTTAGGGTTCCATATTCTTGGTATTCTTAAATGCATTAAGTAGAACTGTTATGTTTTAGGTTAGATTACAGCTAATTTCAAATAGGTTGATGAGAATTTAATTTAACAAAACAGTGTTTCAGGGTACAGTAATAGTTTAAAAATTTAATTTTAAGTCACTTTTCAGAGCACCACTTGAGCATCCAGTTTCTCCAGACAATGAAATAGCAATTTTAATGTTTGTTGACTATTACACTATCCAGTACTCTAATTGATGACGTAATTGAACAAATATCGTAAACTTTAGTCAAACACTTTAAATGTCAATGAACTTTTTTTATGGGTTTTAAAAGGTAAACAGTCAACACTAGGTGCCTTATACAGACTTTACGTGGATTCTTTATACACCTCAAGTGTTTACCTGTTTTCTTTGATCTTTCTCACTTTAAAACAAGTGTATGGAATTGAGAATTTTGTAGATGTAAAAGTATTTTACATTTTCTGTGAACAATGATAATGTGTTTAGCCTTATATCCTTTATGATTTGGGAGGTTGGATGGCCGAATGGTTAGCATGTGCGCGCTGTATCATACGGTCTGTCATTGAGTCAACTGGCAGGGTTTCTATTCCCCGGTTGTACGTGACAAGGAGTAGGGTCGCCTGTCCAACCTTGTGGGTTTTCTCCGGGTCCTTTTTTTCCTCCCACTGCTAAAGACCCCTATGCGCAAGTGAATTATTGAAGTAAAAATGAACCATGTGTTAGTCCCAAAATGACCTAATTTGTGTTGAGTGGACGTTAAACCCCATTTCTCTTTCTCCCTTTATGATTTGTAGCATTAATTAACAAAAATGTAAGAAAAATGTAAACAAAGAGAATGGGGGACCCTTAACAAAACGAAACCGAAATATCAATGGTAGTTAATCTCCGCGCTTGGATTCCATCCGATTTAAGCAAGTCTACAAATGAGAATTTCATAGAAGTACAAGTCTAGAAATGAGAAGTACAAGCCTTTTCCATGGACTTTGTATTTTACTGTTAAAAATGATAATACATTTAGTCGTCATGGGGACTTCTGCTATACTTGATTGTCTGTAGCATTAATCGATGAAATTGCATTAAAGCTGACTATTGCCATTTATATTTTTCATGGCTTAATCTACCCTAACAATGTTTTCTCATTGATTATTTTATGCTAGGTTCTCACTCACGTGCGATGCATTATGATAGAGTCCACAATGTGGTACGTGCAGATGATTGCTACGACTAACCTGATAGGATCACCACAATTAAAACCACAATTTCAATCGTAGCGTGAATCATGGTAGTGTGAACCTAGCATAACATATAATGACCGTAACAAAGCAAATCCAAAATTTTAATAGTAGATAATCTCCCAGCCTGAATTCAATCGGATTAAAAAGAGGTCCTTCAAAATATTTTACCCAACACTTATAGGTGGCACTGGCTTGTTTAAATCGACTGCAGAGAATGCCAACTTTTTCAATTTATGACATATTTGTAAACACTGGACAAAACTGAAACATTTTTGGACTTATATCCCTTTCACAATATCGTATTTTGCAAGGGATTAAAAATGTATCACTTGATAATCCTTGGCGTGCACATAAAATAATCCTTGACAGTTGGAATAGGAAATAACAGTAGGCTGTAGCACCACTGTCCGGGCAAAATTATCATCATAGCACACTGCATTGTGTATACCCATCCAGATGGAGCAGAAAAGTAGAATGTTAAACCTATTTAATTTCATTTTGATATCCCACCATGAAATGTTTGATAACAGTGTAAGTGATGTGTGTAATTGTTTAACATTGTGTTAACGCCATCTGGGACTATCTGTAAATGAGTGGAGATTGTTGGCCTCATTACTTCTATATTAGTAGAATTTAATTATCTCATGAATTAGAACTTCTGTAAATTTCTCCATCTGTTCAATATTTTGTTTTTAAATTAATAATTTTTGATTGTTTTTAAATAAATAACTTTTAATTGTTTCTAAATTTATAATTTTTGATTTTTTCAAAATTTATTAATTTTGATTCTTTGTAAATAAATAACTTTTGATTGTTTCTAAATTTATAATTTTTGATTGTTTCTAAATTTATTAATTTTGATTGTTTCTAAATTTATTAATTTTAATTTATAAATTTATAATGTTTGATTGAAATGAGGGTTTTTGAAATGAAACTAGTTATAACGTCTTTATAGAGAACAAATTCTAAAATATATAAAACCATATCCTTTGGGATATATTGATGCTGTGTAATGTTGACATTGTAAGTTCTTTAAGATGATCAATGTAAAAGTGGATTTAAGAATACCTCATGTATGATCCTGGTTTGAGTCAGGATGATCCGAGGTTTATAAATTACACTAATGGATATTACCAGGAAGACTAACAAAGAAATGTTAGTTCCCAGATGGAATCAAAAAACGGGAATAAATTGGCTAGATTAAATATTTTTGCAATTTTGTTGGATGAATTAGATTTTCTTCAATCATAGTCAATGACTATTAACACTGCATTTACTTATCTCAAACATTGTGTGAAGTCTCCATCCTTTTGTGGACATACTGGTTCAATTAGCTTTGATAACACGATATATTGGTCAGTGTGTCCAGTAGTGGACAGAGGACATGCAAGTTTAATTATGAAGGCTTGGCTAGACAGATCATAAATAGCCTATGGTCATTGTATGAGTCCCAGTCATGAAATGTTGCATAATACTACAGTGTAATGGTTAGTTAACTGTTGCTCATCATGGTGGTCACAATTTGAGGTCACTATATGTGTAAACAATAGAGTATAATGATCTTCTGATGATTTTCATGTAGAATATGAAATTTATGTTGATGTGATATGTACATTTAAAGCCAGAAATGTTTGATAAAAATTATATTTTCTTTTTTGTGTCCGTTTCTAGAGTTTTCCATCCACTTCCAGTGGGGTGATATCGTAGACAAGAAATTTTCTTGGAATAATTTTGTATTAAATAGGATCTTGATACCTTTAGAGTTTGCCACCTGTAACAAACTTATGCGAATAACAATTGTTCTCAGTATGTGTCATTACAAAATAAAAATTTCAATCACAACAAAATGGAAAAATATAGAGGAGACTAATCATCCATGTCTGTGTATGAGACATAAAAAAACACAACACAATTTATATGGAAAATCAATCACTACCTGGTTTGTACTAATATATCACAACAAATCAGTGATTGTTTTCCATACAAATTGTGTTGTGTTTTTTTATTGGGCTCAATCACTAAATGCCACTCAAGGATTATGTATGACACATACTTGGAGCTTTTATTATATTCACGTGTCTACGATTTGGGTTTTTAAAGGGGCATTGTGAGAGATTAGATACAGAGCTGGCAGTTGTCACTATAATAGTTAAAAAAAAGATAATGAAAAGGGAATATGTTGAAAATTTCAGTCAAACTACTTCACTCTGGGCCGAGTTATCGGCAATATAATTACAGTGTAGCCTCAATTGTCATTGCTGCCATTGTTTCGATAATATAAAATGTCTTCAATCATCAACTGCAAAATATATTTAAATCTACATAAAATCGGAGACATTCGATGGCATCAAGGGTTGACTATGGTCTTGGTAAGTTAATTAATGTCTAATTAATAATTCTTATAACATTTAAGGCCTAAAGAAAGACCTGAAATAGGCAGATTTAGCTCTTACATAATCCCTGGTTAGAAAAACACACAACTTTCTGGATTTACTACTTCAGTACACTTACAGGTGCCTTTTCCCATTTGCTCGATAAAGATACCTCCACTGAAATGTTCCTTGAAATAATCTAAGAATTAATGATGGAGATTTTGTTGGGAAGAGTCCTGCCACCTGATACATAGTATATAATTTTATATTTGACACCAACATGTAGTTTATTTAACATTAATTACACAGGTATATTTTAATGTAAATGATAGAGGAAGTATGGATAAGTAAGTATTGCTTCAGGCAGTACCTTTCGACCAAGTCTATTTAACATGTCATAGTCTATTGTTATACGGCCCCAAGCTGTGATCCTCCAGACTGTTGGAATGTTGATTGACT